CTATTCGTCGTCGATGATGCGTAAATCTTCATAATGAAATTCTTGTTCATGTCTCAACTTCTTGCATTAATCGTTTAGTTTCTCTTATATCTGTTGATGATACTCAACAAATATTTACAAACATAAAATATGGACAAACAACTTGTGATATAGATTATGTCAATATCTCTCAAGCCATACTTCGTGTTTACTCAATTCCACCCAGATTTACTCGTCTGGAAAAGATCACAAATCAATTTTCAAGTGTTGCATTTGACACTGTAACTCACTTTTATGCCTACGATAGGGTTCCAACGAAGCATGAATTAGTCAGGCTTTTCCAGTGCTCGGGTGTTTTTCTCTATGACAAATGTTAGGATGCCGTCAACAGATCCTAATGAATGGAAATCTTATGAGAATCTATCGCATTCAGTTATTGAAAATTCTCATTTTATATCAGTCGGTTTCACGCGTGTGCATAAGAATTATATTGCGCAATTTCTACTCGAAACAAAGACACATCGATCCTGGCTAACTGAATTGAAAGTCAGTTGTAACCAAGTAGAAATTGTGACAATGAACTTTACAAACGATGCTACGCAACGTAATTGTTCGAAAGTGAAACCATTAACTGTCGAAAGTTCACGAGTTTTTTCAAAAGATGTTTATTCATACTTTCCTTTATTCTAAATTCAATTTGATATTGATGGCTTCAATAAAAAAATATATATTATGGAACTTATTCGACCAATCAACAGTTCGGATAAAGCCAAGAATCAATAAATTTATGTCCGATAATTTGTGTTTGAACATATAGTTTATCAATGTGTTTGAAGTTTTTTTGAATTAACAAAAAATATTGATTATCATGAAAAGGAAGAAAATTTTCGATTATAGTTGATTTTTTGACAAGTAAATTTTCGTTAAATATATATTTCTCGAACAAATTAATATTCGTTTCGGCCAGATTTCGATGATTTACATCGATTAGATATCATTTTTTGATTCCTTAATTGAACTTTATCTGAATAGAAAAATTAGGCTCGATTTACTTGGTACTAGAATGACCGAATAGAGATATGCAGATAAAAGTATCCAGATACAAATGTGCATTAAGTACTAGATAAATGCAAGAGATGACTTGACATACAACAACGATTCGTTTTGAAAAACAAATTTTTTTTCTAATATGAAACTTGAATTTTATGTTTATAAAGGAAAACCAATTTTGAATATGTTACACTTGTCTAAAGAAGTTCAATTTATATGTGCAATGGTGCTGATTTTTCTACAAAACATTTTGTCAAATTTTTTATCGCTGTATTCTTGTAACTAGTAGTAATTATATATTAGGGTCCCCGTACTACTAGAAAATCTTTCTTCGCCAAAATATCTTTTTGATTTGTTCAGATTGTAAGATGCATCGAATGATGAATAAACAAAACTATTTTTCGCTATTATGGAACGGCTGTAGAACTCGTTATAACACGCAAAACTTTCAAATGACAAGAACTTGTCACTTTTTGGGTGTTGATGTGAGTACGACTCTTTTCTTCGTTAACATCAACATCCATACTTCATATTCTCTCAAAAAAAAAAGAACTTTTTCTCAACCATGTTCTCACTTTGATCATGTTCTTAAAGTTAGAGTATTCTGATCATACGTGAAGTACGACCAAATGATCGGAAAATAATTTTCTTTCAAACTGCATTGCTTATTAACCTATGCCTACGTCGACATATTCATTTATGCAGATACGATATGTCGTACAATATGGACAGATCGAAAAACTATTTTTGCAGAAAAAGGTTTTCTCTGCAGTAAATCGATTTTCCAGAGTCCAGGACTCTGATATTTAGATTCAGCCTTGGCGATCACTTATTGTCCACTAGGTTTGGGTTGCATTTACAGATCAGCGACATCATGGCACCCGTACTCTCTGATTTATCCGGCTAATTAAAACAATTAATATAGAGTATCGTTAATCTGCAGAAGTATCTGCTGATGTTAATTTCAGACTATTTTATAGGAAATAAGAATGCAAAACAATTTCTTTTTCATGATAAATTGAACAGAACTTTTGAGATGCGTGATTACTCATGGGATAATACAATGGAGAATTTTTTATTTAGCCGTAATTGTTCTGTTTTATCAAGAGACTAGTGACACGACATACAGTCTATCGTAACAGAACAATAAAAAAAAGATCTCATTGGATATTTATGTCATGTTTTTAAGGAGATATTACTACTAGAAAAAAAAACAAAGTTAATAATTGCATACTTCTTCATTGGATGAAATTTCTCGAACATGCCTGAAGTCAGTTATGTCCTAAAGTTTAATTAAAAAGTACAGATTGATGTAGTTAAGTGAATTTTTCATATGCATTTAATTCGTCTACATACATCCACAAAACTTCCTTTACTTCCTTGATGACACAGAAGGAATTAATTTATTGTGGAGAAAAATCTTTCTTTTTGATGTTATGACAGTTTACCATTCAGAAATAGAAGAATATTTTTCGAATGCAAAAGTCGGATGACACTGATGATGTGACCTTTGATGTTAAATAACATAACAAGAATTTATATTATATTTGTTCCGGCTTTTAACATCTGTTGTCTACACGTTCCTTTAGCGTATGATATTTCTTTTAGGGAATTTCTGTTTAATTGAAATCTAATTGTCTACACCTGCATATTGTAATTCTCATCCTCGGCTCATTTAAATATCAATAAATAAAACTATATTTCACAGAAAAAACATTTATTGGTACAAATATTGCTAAATAACGTATTTTTCTTTGCAAGTTTCAGCTGACCAGTCATCAATTGATATTTCGGATCATGCAAATAGAGGAGAGAAACAGAAAAGTTGTATAGGGCATCGGTTTCTTTTATGATTATGAAATCTGATCTCATTGAACAGACTTTAATTAAACAGTCTTGTCGTAACCAAAATGTGGGATTAATTAGCAATGAGAACATTGATTGAAAAAAAAATAAGGAAGCAATAGAGGGCAAGAGAAAAAATGACTATGCGATTATGCCCGCTTACAATCGTAACATAGTGAATCATCAACATCAACTTTAGTGATGATTATTATCTATATAATCATCTTTGTCGTTTTAATTGATGACATTACAAAAAAGAAATCGTTCAACAAATCGTTTTATACTTATAATTGCATGCCAAGCTAATAATGGCAGATTAGAAAGAAGTAAAGAAAAACATATTAACAATAATAATAAAAATAATCTTCGTCTAGTTAGCAAATTTATTTCTAAGGAGTTTATTTTTTTGTTTTTTTTATTTAGATGTCTAAACTTATTAATAGTACTTTTTATTTTGTCATATATAATTAAATGTTAATATTAGATTAAGATCAATATTATTTAGTATGTTCTATTTCGATTAAACTTGAAGGATATATATATATATATTTATTAACGTTTGCCATATATAAATAAATTATTTTGTGTTTCAGTTCTCCCTCGATTTTATTTTACAGTGTTTCTCAATATCATTTTAATTTTTTTTCTTCGTTTGCTTTTCTTTAATCTATTGGCAACGATGATTTATTCACGGAAAGTTGAACAGCGACATATAGCGTGCATGTTTGTGTATGTGAGTGCGCTTTTTCTTTTTGTTCCACTCACTGGGTGATGTGATAGAATTCTATTTCTTTCCAGTGATGGTTGGTTTGCGCTTGCGCATGTGTACCCTGTGTGTGTGTGTCTTCCCCTTTTCTTGTTCGCGTCACAAAAATTGTTATAAGTCCTCTGCGTCGTCGTTCTTGCTTTCTCGTCATCGTCTAGAGTAGTTGTAGTGGCAAGCCATACGAGAGTTGTCGTTCGTTTGCTTTCATATGCAGACAAAAAATATATGATAGAAAGAAGAAGAGAAAGGATCTTTTCCTCTAACGGCGTTTCTCTGTCTTTCTATCCAATTACCATCACCAACATCCATTTCCTCTCTATTTCTCTCAACATTTTTTCATCACGATAACGATGTTTTTACATGTAAAAAAACACATTTTTTGTCTATTCTTATACGTCTTTAGTTGTTTATATAAATTGTTCAAAGATAATGATTGGAACTTCTATATTTTAGTTAAAAGTCCAAGTGATCATCATTACTATTTTAACGTTTTCAATCAGTCATTGTCGTCTTCCTTTCTCTCATTACTGCCTCTATTTTTTTTATAAACATCAACAAACCACTTACTATTCATCAAGTGGTTTTGATATTTTTCGTTCTTCATCGTGCTTCCTTCGTACTGGCATTGCCAACTCACCACGAAACTCATCTTTTCATCATAAGAATGCTATTCTGTTCTTTATCGACCAATCATTATCTAAAAACATTGTTAAACTAATGTCACCGAACGAAAATAATCTTCTTGTTGATAGTGATTTTAATAAGTTAACGACAACGACAACGACAACGACAGTAGCAGCAACAACAATTAATTCCCTTTTATCAACAACAACAACAACAGCAATTTCTAATGTTAGTCTTTTTCATACATCACTATCAACAACGCAACAGCGAGCAAATCGAACATTTAATATAACATTACTTATCGGATGTATAAGTGCAAGTATTATTTTAATTATAATTATTATTTATGCAGTAGTTAAATATCGAAATCGTGATGAAGGTTCATATAAAATTGATGAAAGTAAAAATTTTGTTTTAAGCTCTCATATTGACAGTCATGATAGTAGTGGTTGCCGTGGTAAAATATCTTCATCACATCATTACCGACAAAAATTAATGGCAACAAATGAACACAATGGCGTTGATTCAAGAGAATGGTACGTATAAATGACATAGAAAATTCATAAAACTGTGTCTAGAGTTCTTCTTTTTCTCCTTCTTTTTCTTTTTTTTTTAATAAAACATAAATGCATCAAAGAAAAAAAATAGACATAAAATTCATATATTGATAGGTGTTTTATCTAAGAAGAAAGAAGATATATGAATATTAAAAAAAAATTAGCGCTTGAGAATAATGTCATGTTCGAAGAAGATGGATAATTTTGTTAAAATATTCTATAGTAATTACAAATGTAGTCATCGATGGAACACTAGCTTCTCTGAAAACAAGAAAAATAACATTTTCTTCATTTCTTCATCAAAAAAAACAAAATTTTACTTTGGTAATGAATTATCGTTGTTTGTATTTAAATTAATAAATTGAACTTTTAAATTTTTTCCATCATTTGATATAGATTGAACTTTGGCTAATTTATAAATAGTATCATCATCATCAATAGCTAAAACATAGTCATTAATTCTATGTTTATTACGTAGAGTAAATGCACCAAATAAATGCTCATCATTTTGTTTAGATTCATTTGTATCACACCATTCTATTGAATATCGATGACCAGTTCCAACACGATCTTTAATTGTACCTAATTAAGATTTTTAATTATACACAATGAACAATAAAAAAAGAACATCGAAGTCTTTTACCTAACATGAATTTTTTTTCTTCATCATTTAAACCAACAATAACTTGATTAATAAGTGATTTTTCTTTTTCAATACGTAATATAGAATAATGTTCAAATTGTTGTTTATTTATTGGTATAACAAATTGATTATTTGCTAGATCTTCTATATAACAATCATAAAAACGAACTTTTGTGTTCGAATCATGCTCAAGATGATGAAGAATTACTGATGGACAATAACATTGACGAGAATCGTTTGGATATTTAATGAAAGCAAATGATTTTGCCTTGAATTATAAGTATAAAATTTAAAATAACTATAAAATATTATTAATTAACTTACTTCCATACATTCTAAAAGACATAAATTTGAATCAAGAAATATATCATTACGAGATATATTGCTTTGAATACCAGGTAAATCAATACGTTCAATAATATAATTATTTGAATCATTTGATTTTATTACGGTACCCTAAAAATAAATAAAAGATTGATAGATTGTTTATAATATTTTAAAGAATAAAAATGAAGATTTATGAAAAATTTCCGTAAGTCTTTCAATGCAAATTTTACAATTAGAGTTATTAAGTGTATTAGAGAGTCATTTTTACCTATTGATTAGATATAAAATGTGCTGGTTCTGAGATATATTAATTTACACCCGAAGAATTCTACTTAAAGAACAGCAGAGAGTTATAATAACTCTATACTCAATAATCTTTGCTTTCATTTAGTATAATATTCCTTGTAAATACATCGTTTGTTGTTTGAGATCTACTCTTCTTGAAAAACAATGAAAGATCAGCATAGTTGTTTTTTCCTTGCTGAATTAACAATCAATACAACAATTAATAGAAATATCTTATAGTTCGTACTTTTGTGATGAAATCATTTCAGTCCTTTATGGCCTACAGTACCGATTAACTAAATAGACAATTGTTTGCTGATGCATTCAAAAAGAAAATCGAATTAATTTCATCTTGAACATTTATGTAAAGACTTGTGTTAAGTAAACCCCTCCCCAGAATACAAGGCCACCCTATATTAGAAAGCTACCCTCATTAGAAAGCCACCCCAGAAAAAAACTCATAAGGCATAATAGAAGGCCATGGGGTTTCCAGAAACGTCTTTTAGAAATCCAGTCAATTTTTATATTTTAGTACTTAAAATATCGGTTTTTGGTAAAAAACCAAGGTTTTGTAGCTAAAATTACTTTTTTTCTAGTAAAAAAACTGGTTCTACGGAACTTGACTGCTAAAAGTGTATTTTTGAACGCCAGAAAATTTTTCCAAAAACCCCTGGTTTTTTAGATAAATCTTAGCAAAAAATAGCCCACAATAGAAGGCCACCTTTGCAGAAGCGATGTGAATTTCCATAATAGAAGGCCATGCCCTTTTATTATGGGGAGAGGGGGGGGGGGGGNTTGAGTCTGGGGGGGGTGGGTGGTTGGGGGGGGGGGGGTGGGGGCGTGGTCGGGAGGAATTTATTAGGTATTGTCAGGAGTTCTATCTTTGTCTAATAAAACCAACTAGTGGAAGTGTACGTTCACTTTTGATAAATTTAATTCTGATGTCGTTCAGTATTATATAAATGCTTACGTTGTTTTTTCATTCAAATGAAAGGAAGTTTATTTTGTGATAAAATACAATTGTTTCAATGGATATTTGTATTTTCAAATGAAGTTTGTTTTAAAATTTCCTGAACATTTTTCCCGGTAAATTATGATTGTTTTCCCTTACGATCGATTTCCGTCTTCACAAGGTTCATTCGGACTGAAATTTTTCCAGACAAATGGTTCTAATGTGAAGTCCAATAGATCCGACTACATCAAAGTTTCGGCATATTGACAGTCCCTTTATGACATCTAACGGATGACCCAGATTAAATGGACCTCTCAGTATTTTGACTATCACTTTTTTCTTTTTGGTTTTTAGAGCTAATTGTTTTTCCAAAAGATGCGCCGCCAAATTCTCTGTAAAATCATAATCAAACTTATTTGTGTAGAAAGTTAAAGAAAAAAATTAAACGAAGATTATCCGACACATTAAAAGTACCCAACTTTCAAAGCTGACGGATGTCTCATAAGTGTCCGATGTTTGTATCTCTTTTTTCTATCGCCAAACACATTATTTTAAAAGTAAAGTATACCATACGATGCAACGTGAAAAGCTCTACAAGTTACATTAAAAACCTTATTTTATGCAAGCACTCTTTGTTTTCAAAATGGACGAAATTGTATGCGACCAATTTTCGACGCTGCGAACAAGATCATTTTTGGTCGCACAGAGCTTTGCTTATTATAAAAACAAAAGATGCATATATATAAAATAAACTGTTCTTTGTAGATTGTAGAGCTTNGAGCTGTTAAATCTGATGATGTATTATCGATAAACATTAGCTTTCCAAGTATAATGTCCATTAATTTCTAATTGATTTTTTTTTTCGTTAGTTGTCTGATAAATTGACAATTGGCCTCTGCCCTCATTCTTTTTTATTAATACGAAATAAGAAGAATGTATAAAGTTGTTTTTCAACATAGGGATCAAGGAAAAAGACAGGCATACTATTTTTTATTCAGAAATGATGTAGGTTTGTGATTAAAAAACATTGTTAATTAATATTTAAAACCGATCTGATAAATGAAACCGAAATTTCTCATATAAGAAGTAATCTTTTTGATAAGTATTCATGAATGAACATCTGTTTATTTCTAGATTTAAATTATACACGAATATTAAAAACCTTAGATTTACCAGAATGTATTACTGTCTACCACAAACTACACATTAGCACTGATTCCTTTTTCAAATAGTCTCTACATAAGAATTTTTACTCACTTCACATTGAGAAAAGATTTCATATTATTCTAGTAGTTTTTCAAACTGTTAGTTATACTTTAAATATGTCATAGGATAATATTTTCCGAAATTCTACGAAGCTCCCGAAAACAGAAAATAATCCACTTTATCAACTTTCCAGAAAACACTTCTGTTTTGTTATATGATATAAATGATATGACTCTCATTCTCAGTTGGACATGATCAACATTTCTTTTTCATATCAGAGATCGTCACGGGAGGTGTGATCTGCAGGATCTGCGAGCCACCCAAGTTCCTCATTGATCGTGATCCAATGAGGTTCTGATCTATTAAGGAATTTTGTCGCGACTTTCCAATGTTATCAATAGTAACCAAAAGTGCAAGTGGCATACCACTTCAGTGGAAAGATTATTTTTAGCTCAAATATGTTGACATTTAGTCAAACACGAACAGATTTATCACCAAGTCAAAATGATAACATTATTTATTCGTTCTTATGAGAACTTCAAGAAAAAGTAATAAAAAGAAAAGTGGTACTTTCTCGTTGTTCGTCTATTTATATTGATTATATTTTGGATACTGCATCTTTATGCTTGTTTTATTATTGCTTCGTTCACATTATAGATGTCAAGTATTTTTTTTTCATTTCATTTCTGCTGAAAAATATGCGATAAGGTTTATTGACATGATTATTGAAAGTGGTTTTTGTATCGATAATGCAGGGTAGAACAAAGAAAACCATCCTGTGACACTCCCTATTTCATATCGCGTTGCCAAACGGAAGTCGCTTGTGTTCAAAATTGTCTTGCTATAAATAGTCAGTAAAACACTTTTCTTCTTTAAATTTAGTTATGATTACATATTCAAGATTTAAATTTACCCAATGTAGACTCTAATCGTATTATAAGCGAGCAATTGAAATAAAGCTGAACGTTTGTTCTTCAGTTAGCTGGCCGTGAAGTGGGAAACCTAATGCCGACGCTATACAAGTCTACTTCAAATAGTGATTCTTTAATGGATAAGTAATGACAAACGAAATGCAATGTCAATACATATGTAAAAGAATTTTTTTCTCGAGTCCTATAATTTCATTTGACAGGTTTCTACTATCGTGATGTTGATCGTAATCTGAAGTTGTTTCGTCTGTATCAAATGAAAATGGTACAGATTTTCATTAAACTTTTTTTCAATTTCAAATATCAAGTAGAAACTCTTCTGAAATAATTAAAGAAAACAAACAAACTTTCAACACGTTTAAATCCAATTTGTTGCAGAATTTGATCAAATGTTAATTTTTGCGCTTTCAAACCATAGCGTTGAAGCCATTCAGAACTTTTTAACTATGAAAATAAGAAATTTTTGCTGTATTTCATCAAAATTATATATCTATTCTATTCATACTTGACTTAATATATAAGATGGATCAGCAGCCGTATATATTGTAGTATCCTGAGATGACGTAGTTAAATCAAAATTTCGAGTTTCACCATTTGTGTGTGCATAAGGAACGGCAAGAAGAGCACTAGGTGATGCAGAAAATGAAGCTCGACCATTTTTAGATGTCATCATAGAGGCAAAATTTTGGTTGAAAGCTCGAATAAAAATAATAGGAATTATATAAATCTACGATTGATCAAATCCAGTTTGCCATTGCAATGTTCGTTGTTATGGTGTGATTATGAATAATGATTATTTTATATAAAATTTGATTTTTTATGAAAAAACTGAATAAATATCCAAATTTAACCTTGATATTATTGGTTCTTCTCTTTTATAAATTATTATTCTTCCGCAATAGTATTTGAATAAGCCAATGAAAATACGGAATGAGTCATCATTCAGTTGTCTTCATTATCTTTACAGGCAAGATTTTACGAGAAAAGTAAAATGTTGAAAACCATTATTCGTCAAAGTATTCGTCTTCAACCAGTTTTAAACGCTCGCTTATCGACATCATTATGTAGTCGTTTACAGACATTATCTAATCATATGAATGTATATCAAAATAATTCAGTAAATAATTGAAAATTTTTAATTGATACTATTATCGAGAAAAACCTTTGTATTGTAGGTTTGGCCATATGTAATAATGTCACGTCGTACATCAATACTTGATCAACATATCAAAGATGCTGGTCAAATGCGTACACCACCACCTCTTACATCAGAAGATATTGAAAGACGTGTATTACGTATTTGTAATGAATATGATAAAATTCAAGAAGCTCATAAAAATAATGTAAGTTTACAAGAATTTAGAATACTCACTTGTAATTAAAAGGTTTGATGCATAATGAATGATTTAATTATTGAAAATCATATTTACCTTTGAGAGTGATAGATGATGATACAATTCTATTTGAAGAACATTATTCTAATGAATATTTTAATGATATTTATTATTTGAATATCTTATAAATATTATCCTTGAGGTTTTATTTATTTTTCAAAGCTGCTCATGCACTATTTATGATCTTATAGAAAGAATATTCTTTTTTGCTATTGGCTATTGTAGACTGAAAAACTTTCTATAGGCTGCGCTTTAAAGACATTTAGTGGATTGCTTTGAGCTAATAGTTATTTGCATAATAGAATAATCTCGAAATATATATATATATCAGTGTGAGCAGTCCATCGAAGTTCAAACTTAATTTTAGTCTTGTTTTGGAACACTTATGAATAATTATATTTCTATATGAAGAATCTATCAGGCGTTATTTATAAATTTTTAATAGAAATCATACTAGACAGTCGACTATGCATAAAAGAAATGCCATTATTCTCTTGCAGTTTATGTATCTTAAAATTCAATTCGAATATAGATGTCACCATCAAAATCGAATTTGTACTGAACCCTTTGCTCTATCCAATTGTGAGTACAAATATAAATATTTATCATCAGCTAAGTTTCGTTGATTTACATTAATACAATTTGTAATAGTAATTATCCAACATTCGAGATTTTACTCCTTAATTTAGAAGTTATTCTATCATAGAATTATTTTTATAGTGTTTGTAAAGATTTGCTACATTCTCAGAAGAAAAATACATTGCTCTGCTGAACATATGGTTTTCTATGATTCATTCAAATTTTTTTCTTACATTCTGTATTAATTTTAGGATAAGAATACCCCATTTGATAAATCATACTTTCTGACATAAAAATTGAATTTTTGTAAAAAAGAATTTCATCTTTTTTTATTGTTTCATTTAGATCACATTATCAACGCATTTTATGAAAGACCTTGGTCTAGATAGTCTTGATCATGTTGAAATAATCGTTGCTGTGGAAAATGAATTTGGTATATTTATAGACTTGAATAATAATTCTTTCTATATGGTCGGTTTTTTTTTTCTTAGGTTTTGAAATTCCAGATAGTGATTATGATAAATTATATACAATAAAGGCAATGGTTGATTATTTACTTAAGAAAATGCACATTGTTGAGCGTCCTCAACCAGTTGTTTCATCAGCATCTGATCCACGTTATGACGAACATCATCATTGATGTATATTTGGACATGTTTTTGTCTCAATAAAAATTCTGTTGTTTCTTTTCTTTTGATTTCTCTTATTTACTTAACTCTAAATCATTGAACAGGTTTCGGAATATGAAATAATAGAAGTGAAGTTTTTCCTTGATTTATTTTCATCGCCCATAGTGTAAGAAAAAAACAGCCTACAAAAAAAAGTCTGACGGTGCCAACAACTACTACATTTTTTTTCTCGTTCTGAGTGAGAATGAAAAAAATAGAGGTCAAATAAAAGAAGCAGCTGACTCAATTGTCAGATGATAGAACGACGAAGAAAAAAAAAGCAGAAGACGGTAGTATTAACGAGAAAAGAATATCATTTCTACTAAGAAGAAAGACGGCAACGAAGTGACGAGTTTTACATGCACACAAAAAAAGGAACACTATTCTGATCAACGTGATGAACTTATAGAAGTCATTAAATATTCGACGAATACAAATTGATTTAGATTAGAAAAAGCAGGTAGGATATATAAAATTCAGATGAATGATTAAATACTACTCAACTCTACTTCTTTATTGGTCAGGAAGAAATAAGACAACTAAACAGAGTTGATGTGTATCTAAGCTTTTCTTGTAAACATACAAATACTTTCAAGCTTTCTCATAATGTCTATATAAAATTTTCTTCTTGCCGGAAGCGAACCAGAAACCCATTTGTTCTTGTTTTTTTTTCGTTCTAAACGCATTTCAATAATAGGAATACTTCTACTATGTAAATAAATCAAATTTTCTTTTCTACAAATGCAATTTCTAAACTCGAAAAGAGAAAATTGAAAATATAAACTAATATATTTTCTATTGACAAAATGTGTTTGCATCGCCAAACAAAGCTTGAAACAATTTGATAGAATGTTAATATCAACAATAAAATGTCAGTCATATTAATCAATCTAGACAGTTTGTCACTGATTGTTTTGTATCAATTGTGAGTTTTCTTTCAAAGATAATAATTCAAATGAAGGTTTGTTTTTATTTAATAGAATAAACTTTTTAAAAATAAAAATTTCTTTTGAATTCTTAACATTATTTTTCATGCTTTTCTTCTGCGTTTCATTTAGCATTGCCGTTAGAAATAGCTAAAATAGCATACTCTGCGAATGACGTATATATAAACTGAATAAAAAAGAAAGAAAGAAAATCTCTTGGGAATTAATATTCGCATTTTATCTATAATAATATCAAACAAATCGAGCTGAATTTCTGTCTACTAATACATAATCGACCATAAATAGTTGACATTCGTTAGTAATTAATAAGTACTAAACACTCAAATTATTATTATAGAAAAAATAATGCTGAGTAATTTAGATGAATACTTTTGTCTTTTATCTGAGACAAATGCTGAAAAAGTGAAAGAAAGGCTTATTATATTGTTTTTCTTATAGATTTAGAGTAGACTAAGATAAGATAAAACATTATTGTCATGTTCGATAAATCATCTATAATAGACGGGTGAGATGATGATAGTTTTCATTGATTAAATAAATAAATGAGGATGATATTAGTAATAAGAAGAAAAACAAAGATCTACTAAAGTTTATATGCATACATGTTGTTTGAATAGTGACGATGATATGACTTATCTTGTCACGTATCACATCCCGATAGATTGACAGAAATCATATATACATCACATAGATAATTCAATCGTCAACTTGAAAAAACATTCGCTTTTTAGATACGGCACTGCACTTTCTTTTTTTTGCTAACAATCATGTCATTAAAGGCTGTCTATATAACACATAGATTTCTCCTTAGAGATTGCATTCTATCATCTTTGTTTTTGTCCTGCTTCTATCATCATGCTATCTTTTTTTTATCGATATAATCGATACCTTTTCCATTGTCAGAAGAAAAAGAAAAAGAAAAAAAGTGATAGAAAATTGTTGACATTTTCTGTTTTCATCTACACCAGTAATGGCATTGATAGTGATTGTGTTATTTTTGGGTGAATATTTCATTATATATTTAAGTACTCTTGAAAATTATATTTATTTTTCATCTTTAGTAGATTAATTTCGTTATAAGTACTTGAACATCAAAGAAATATTCTTAATTAAATTTATTTTCTAAGTATGGGTATACATAATTCAAAAGAAAATCATCGATTAAAATCCTCAACTAGTGAAAATAATACCTGGCGATCGTCTACTACTACGACAAACAAATCGCTTATTGTCAATAAAAAAACTGATTATTATGGATGGCAAGAAATTTATCGTGGTTCACATATTGATTGGCTTCATGGAATATCAGGTAAGAAATAATTTAAAAAACGAACACTATTTTCTTTGTTTTAATTTTTATCAATTTTAGAATTATTTGGTTTTGCTCATCACACATTTACATGTAATTCTGAACTTCATAGTATATGTGCTCCTGGCTTTTGTTCAGAATCTTTATCACGTAAACTTCATGGTTTTTCTCGATGTTCAACAAAAAAATTTCGTTGTACATCTCGTTCAATTCTTCCATCATCATCAACATCAACAAAAAGTAAAAAATTACGTGAACATTTTGAATATAATCATATACCAGCAATGATTAGTTCATTACAAAATTATTCTGTTCATAGAATTGTTAATGGTTGTTCAATATCGGGTTTTAATCATGGTGATACAATAATGTTATCAATTTATTCTGTTGTTTTAGATAAAACAAAATTTATTATTGTGGATTTAAAATTAAATAGATATGTTTGTGCACTTGGAGATGATTATAATGGATTAATTGATGCAAGTAAAGTTCATGCAGCTTGGTCAATGGATAGAACGCAAGTTATTATACGTGTACCTATCAATGGTGGATTAGCTGCATTAGATTTTTATAAAAGTATTATTGCTATATTGAACATTTTTTTTTTTTTTGTTAAATATCAATTTTTATTTCTAGTTATTAAAAAAGAAGCTAAACTTTATCGTCGAATTTTTCCAATTGATATTCATGCTCAATTTCAATTTAGTTCTAATTATTGGTCATCTCGTTTAGCTATGTATACGCATACAACTCAACATCAAAGTACATTAATTAGT